TGTCTCTACCCTGTGTCTCCCCATCTCTCTCTACCCTGTGTCTCTCCATCTCTGTGTCTCCCTACTTTCTTTTCTTGCTTTTACTCTTAAAGACATTTGAAGCCAAGATCCATCACCTGGAGACCCGGCCAGCCCAGAGGCCACAGGCAGAGAGCCCTCACCTGGAGTACTTTGTGCGCTTTGAAGTGCCCAGCGGGGACCTGGCGGCCCTGCTCAGCTCCGTGCGCCGGGTGTCAGATGATGTGCGCAGTGCCGGGGAGGACAAGGGTGAGGCCAGCTGTCTGTCCTTGGGTCCAACCAAATGGCTTTGAGGTGTGAGGGGCGGAGGCCCCTGCAGGGCAACAGGTAGTGGCCACCCGCCCCCTGGCTGCAGCCCTCCCCCACTTCTGCCTCCTAGTCACATCCAGGCCTGGGGCCTCCTCCAGGACCCCCACATCACAGCCCAGCAGACTCTGCCTGGCAGGAGGTCCCCAAGAGAGGACGCATTCAGGGTGAGGGAGTCCGCGGAAGACTGTGCTCACCTGGCCCTTTTGCTCTGTCTTCTGTGAAGTCCCATGGTTCCCAAGGAAGGTGTCGGAGCTGGACAAGTGTCACCACCTGGTCACCAAGTTTGATCCTGACTTGGACTTGGACCATCCGGTGAGCAGTGCCCAAGTCCTCCTGCCTGGACGGTGTCCACCCCATTGCCGGTGGGGTGGTTATGTACCCCCACTGGCCCCAGACAGCTCTGTGTGCTGGCTGGCTTAGGGGGCGGGGAGGGCGGACAACTTCCTGACCGGTGCTTGTTCCCGACGCCCTCAGGGCTTCTCGGACCAGGTGTACCGCCAGCGCCGGAAGCTGATTGCCGAGATCGCCTTCCAGTACAAGCAGTAAGGGCCCTGCACCCAGACCCCAGCTGCGCCCCCGCCAGCCCTGGGGGAGCACCTTGGTACCCATCTCCTCACCTCGCGGCCACTGTACCTGCCACTTGGGGTCGAGCTCCCAGCCGCTCTGCTCCAGGGCTTTGCACTTGCCTATTGGGCCGTCCACTTTATACTGCTCCAAGGTGGCCACTGGCCCTGTCCTCAGATCCCAGCCTCCCAGGCCACACAGGCGGCACAGCCCGGCACACCCTGTCCACCGGCCCCAGGCTTCACTGCACTCCACGCAGGGCTCCTGTCATGTCCCCCATTTCCCCTCCCTGGGGCAGGGGGCCGTGGCTGACAGCTGACCCCCCAACAGTGGTGAACCCATTCCCCGCGTGGAGTACACAGCCGAGGAGATTGCTACCTGGTGAGACCCCCACAGCTGGCTGGGAACGGGCAGGGAGACAGCTCCTGTGCCTGAGGGCTGCCTCTAGGACACTGGTGAGGCATGGCAGATTAAGGCCAGGTGGAGGAGGGACTTCCAGCCTTGGCCTGGAATATCGTTATCTCCAGGGATGTCCTCCCTGCCCCAGGCCCCCTGAATTTCCCAAAGCCAACAGCAAAATCCCCACCCAGTGGCAGAGAGGCTGTGGGGAGTGGACGGCGTGGCCACAGGAGGGACTGTGGAGTGGGTCCCCAGGAATGGGCAGAGCCTAGGGGCCGTGGTGGCCTGGTGGGCCCTGAGCCGCGGGGCTTGCAGGAAGGAGGTCTACAGCACCCTGAGGGGCCTGTACGCCACCCACGCCTGCCGCGAGCACCTGGAAGCCTTCCGGCTGCTGGAGCGCTTCAGCGGCTACCGCGAGGACAGCATTCCGCAGCTGGAGGACGTTTCCCGCTTCCTGAAGGGTGCGGGCTGGGGGCTGGCCAGGCGGGAGAGGCGGGGTCCGTCTGCTGGCCTCCCAAACCCTGACTGTGGTCCCTTGCAGAGCGGACGGGCTTCCAGCTGCGGCCTGTGGCTGGCCTTCTGTCGGCCAGGGACTTCCTGGCCAGCCTGGCCTTCCGTGTGTTCCAGTGCACCCAGTACATCCGCCACGCCTCCTCACCCATGCACTCGCCAGAGCCGTGAGTGACCCCCCGAGGCCAGGAGGGCCCGGCCTATGCTTCTGAGCCCCTGCATGAGGCCGCGGGGAGGCCCGGGTACAAACAGGGGCAGAGACACCGAGGGGCTGGGGTCCTGAGCCAGCCCTCCGTGGCCAGCCTGGAGGACGGGGCAGGGGCTGGCCTGCGCAGCCAGCCCTCCCCCTCTCTCCTGCCCTCACACAGGGACTGCTGTCACGAGCTGCTGGGGCACGTGCCCATGCTGGCTGACCGCACGTTCGCACAGTTCTCCCAGGTGTGTGTGGGCCTCAGCCAGGGCCAGGCACATCCCGCCCCACCGTGTGGGGGTGTGTCCAGGGCCCTGCCCTGCTGGGTATACAGACCACCAGGGGAGCAGGGCTCAGGCAGAGCTCAGGTGCAGGGCTCTGCCACCTGCTGGCCCCCGCAGGATCAGTGAGCCCAGGGCCCCAGGTGGCTGGAGGGTGTATGCATTCCATGTCTGAGGGACCCCAGAAGGGCAGCTGACACCCCACTGCCTGTGCCCTGGCCCCATGCCAGGCTGAGCCTCTCCACTCCCCACCCCCAGGACATCGGCCTTGCGTCCCTGGGAGCCTCAGATGAGGAAATCGAGAAGCTGTCCACGGTGGGTCTCTTCCCTACAGGGCAGGGAGCGGGAGGCCCGGATGCCCTCTGTCTGCTGCCGTGGCCCGTGGGGCTGCGGCACCAGGGCAGCTGGGTCGGCCCTCCCCACAGCTGTACTGGTTCACGGTGGAGTTCGGGCTGTGCAGGCAGAACGGGGAGCTGAAGGCCTACGGCGCAGGGCTGCTGTCCTCCTACGGGGAGCTCCTGGTGAGACCCCCTCCCTGCAGCAGCACAGAGTGGGGCACCAGGCTCCCAGGGGGGTGGGACCTCTCAACCAGGACTTCCTGGCCAAACCCTCTTTGGGAGAAAGCTCATCCCTGGCCAGCCCCTACCCCACACCGTCCCCAGGCCTCTGGAGGATCCTTGGGGAGAAAGGGGTGGGCCCACACCCACAGCTACCATGCAGTCAGGTCATGGTTCCTTTGGGCCCTGGGGCGTGGCCAGCGGGGACACCTGTGGGGCACGTGCCCATGCCGGCTGACCGCACGTTCGCACTCCAGCACTCCCTGTCCGAGGAGCCTGAGATCCGGGCCTTCGACCCTGAGGCTGCTGCTGTGCAGCCCTATCAAGATCAGACCTACCAGCCGGTCTATTTCGTGTCTGAGAGCTTCAGTGACGCCAAGGAGAAGCTCAGGTAGGCCAGGGTGAGGCCCCCGGCTGCCCCCTGCCAGCCAGGCCTTCATCTCTCCTGTGATCAGGGCTCAGCTTTGAACCCATGACACAGAGCAGAAAAGCGACCCTCAGGTACAGCCTCCCCTCACAGCAGGGGTGCCCTCCCCGAGAAGAACCCCAGGGAATCTGGGAGAGGGAAGCCCTTGGGGTGAGGCTGCTGTGTGGCCAGTCAGGGCCAGGGCCAGGGCCGCCTGCTAGGCCATGGCAGAGGCTGAGCTCTGGGAGGAGGCAGCGGGGGGCCTTCCCAGCCTCCTGCCTGGAGCGGCGGGGACCTGGGATGGGATGGGGGACACCTCAGGGTGGGACGGGGGGCAGAGGTGGCTGGGGGCTGTGGTGGGGAGCATGGCAGCCTGGAGGGATGGGGTACAGTGGGTCCCAGAGGGGGAAGCAGAGCCTGCAGGCTCACCGTGGACGAGGGTCTGCTCGCTTCTCCAGCTGCTCTGTGCCCTGGGGAAGGGACGGCTGAGTCCCATAATAACTTAGGGGCGCTCCAGGGCTCTGGGTCAGGGCAGGCTTCCTGAGGAGGAGGCCCTGCTTAGCATTTCTCTTGGCTGAGGACTCCTGGCCGAGGACTGCTTAGAGAAGGTGCCTGGCCCGGATCTCACCTCAGCCCTGGAGGAGGCCTCAGTTGCTTTGGGGGCTCAACCAGGACTTCCTGGGTCCAACCCTCTTTGGGGGAAAGCTCATCCCTGGCCAGCCCCTACCCCACACTGTCCCGGACTGTTCCAGAGGCAGCAGACCCCGCCCCTGGCTGCCCAGCCCTGCCACGCCCCCTCCAGGTGCTCACCAGGTGACTGAGGGTCCACCCAACTCTGACTTCCCTCCCCAGGGGCTATGCCTCTCGAATCCAGCGCCCCTTCTCTGTGAAGTTTGACCCATACACGATGGCCATCGATGTGCTGGACAGTCCCCACACCATCCGTCGCTCGCTGGAGGGTGTCCAGGATGAGCTGCACACCCTGACCCATGCATTGAGTGCCATCAGCTAGGTGCGTGGTGCATGACCCACGACCTCAGCAGGCCTGCCCTGGAGTCTCCTGGCCCCTTCAGTCTCTGCCAGCTCCTGCCCTGTCCCTGAGCTCAGGCCCACATAAAGGGCTGGGTCTTGACCACCCAGAACCCACCCCCCTGTCACCCCGGCTCCCTGCTGACCCACCTGCTCCTTCTCAGCACCATGACTGCTGTATGTCCTGTGAGGTCCTGTCTGGCTGCCACCACCTGTGCTCCAGGGCCAAGAGGCGGCCTTGCTTGTCACCTTGCCCCTAATGCCGTCTGCATTCTGCTCATCATCCCAATAAAGGAAAGGTCTCTCTGTGCTGCCTTGCCTCTGTGTCCCTGGCCTTGCTTGAGAGTCCCTCCTATGTCCCTCCTGGTCTAGCTCAACTTCCCCGGGGACCCCAGGCCAGGCAGGACGAACCCTGGCCTCATTTCCCTGACCACCCCAAGGCCTCTTTGATTTCCAAGCTCCCTGGCAGCCCTAGGAGGGTTGAATAAGGCCCTGGATGAGTTGCTCCACCTCCAAGAGGTGGCAGCGAAGGTGGGGACCAGGAGGTAGGAGAAGGAAGTCCCTGGGCCCAGGAAGGAAGTAGGATCCACAGCTTGAGTGATCCCTGGTATGGGCTGCAGACCAGACCCTCTTTGCCTGTGTGGGAGTTCTAGCCCTTGAGAACGACCAGGCCCAGGGATAGAGGGAGAGGGGTCCCCATCCCTGTGAAAGGAGTGCCCTCACCACAGAGCAGGACCCTGGGGCTAAGAGGAGACTCCATGATGTCCCCCAAATGCATGCTGATGGGAAGGGTTTAGCTGGACTGCTCGAGGCACACCCTCCCAGCCTCAGTCTCCACAAAGGCGGTGGCCTGTGGGCCCTGGGATGCCCCCCACCAACCCAGCAGGGCCTGGGCCTTGCCTGCAGCTAGAGGCCCATCATCCTCCAGGCCAAGCCAGCCAGGCCCCATCCCACCCCACTTCTGTCCTTGAAGAGTGCAAGCCAGGCTTTCCTGTGAGTGGCCTGCTCCGTGCTTCCTATGGGGCGGCAGGGGACACCAGCGAGTCTCCAAGTCTCTGCTCACTTCCTCCAGGTGCCCCGCCAGACCCGGCCAGGACCCTGTGTTAAGCTCTGAGGACAACAGCCTGGGAAGCCCCACTCACCCTTAAAGCCCTCCTGGAAAGGTCTCCCAGCCCTCCCTGGCTGTTCCCAATCAGCTGCCCCTTCAGTACTGACTCTGTGTCCAACCACCAGCTTCCACTTCCCACGAGCCCCAGAGTAGTGCACAACAATTTCCAAAAGACTGCAGGGACAATTAGACACAGGGGAAAACCTTAGGCTCCCAACAGACCCAGGGAAGGAAATGAGCCCCACTGATGTCCCGGGGAAGGCTCCGAGGCCCAGTGAGACGCTGGGGAAAGACCTAAGCCCTCCTAAAACTCGGGGGATCGGGGGACGAGGAGTCCCACCTAGACCCTGGGAGAGCATGAGTTCATTTGAATCTGGAGAAGACTCGGAGCCCGCCCCCGAGGACTGTGGAAAGACCGTGGATAGGCCATCAGCCCCTTGAAACACTGGGGAAGGCCCTAAGTCTCACGGAGACCATGGGAAAGGCCTTAAATCCCCTTGTCACCAGGGGCAAGCCTTTGAGTACCAGTGAGACCTGGGCATTGGTTGCCAGCCCCACTGAAATTCTGGGGAAGGTTATGAAGCCAGGTGAGACACTGGAGAGCCATAGGCCCCACAGAGAACTTGTGAAAGGCCATGAAAGCCACTTGGACATCAGGGAAGGCCTGGAGACCTACTAAGACCCTGGGGAAGGCCCTGAGCACAACTGTGACCTGGGGAGTGGGGCTGAGCTCCACTGAGAACCTGGGGAAAGCACCAAGACTCACTGAAACAACTCTGAAGGCCCTGAATGCAGTGGATCCTTGAAGAAGTCCCTGAACCCCACTGAGACCTGCAGAAAAAACATGAGCCCCACTGAGACTGCGAAGGCTCTGAGCCCTCTTGAGAACCCGTGAAAGACCCCGAGTACCACTGAGGTTTTAGTGAAGTCCTGAGTACCACTGAGACCTTCATGTGGATCCTGAAAGAATCTCAGCACCACTGAGACTCTGGGGAGAGGCTGAGCCCCCAGAGATCATGGGGAAGACCCTGGTTACCACTGAGACTCTCAGGATGGCACTGAGCCCACTGAGACCCTGGGGAAGACCCTGAGCCCCAGTCAGACCCTGGGGAATCTCCTGAACACCATTAAGAACCTGAGAACCCCTGAACCTCAAGAAGACACTGAGACCCTATGAAAGGCTCTGAGCCCCAGAGACACTGAGTAAAAATTTAAGCCCCAATGAGATCCTATAGATTTTAGCCCTGAGCCACACTGAAACTCTGGGGGAATTTGACACCTTCACTGGGATCCTGGGAAAGGCTGTGAGCTTCACTGAGGCCCCAGGTAAGGCCCTGAATCCAGCTAGCCCTTGGGGCTGTCTTTGAGCCCCACTGAGACTCTGCATATACCACTGATCTCTCCTGAATCTCTGAGGAAGGGCTTGATACAAGGTAGACACCCACCAATATCATGAGACCCACAGAGACGTTGAAGACTCTGAGCCCCACTGAGAACCTGGGGAAGGCCCTAAGTCCTTCTGAGAACATCTAAAAGATTCTGAGCCCTAAGGAGAGTCTGGAGGCAACACTGAGCCCCACTGAGTCTCTGGAAAAGGCCGTGAAGCTCGAGGGAACTTAGGGAAAGACCTGAGCCCCAGTGAGACCCGGGGAAGGACCTGATTCAGCTGAGATACCCACAGAGATCAGAAAGAGTTTGGGGGAATGTCCTGAATCCCTCGAATCTCTGGGGAAGATAGTGAATCCCACTGAGACCCTGGGAAGGCCTTGAGCCTCACTGAGGACCTGGGAAAGACTCTGAACCCCATGGAGAAAAGGCCCTGATCCCAGGGGAAGACTGTGAGATTCATTGAGACCCAGGACAAGGCCCTTAGCCCCGTGTAGAACCTGGAAACTGTCACTGAGAATCTGGGGGAAGACCTTGAACTCCACCGAGACCATAAAAAAGGCACTGAATATGCTGGAACCCTGGGGAAGTCCCTGCGCTTGGACAGAGACTCAGTTAAGGGCCCTAATCACCACAGAGACACTAGGTAAGAATCCAAGCCCCACTGAGAATCTGTGGACAGCCCTGAGTCCCACTGAAACTCTGGGTAAACCCTGAGACTCAAGGCCCTCAACTCCATTGAGAGACTTAGGTAGTCCCTGAGTCTCAGTGAGACCCTGAGAAGTCCTCGGGCCCCCACTGAGACTCTGGACATGTACCTGAGCCCCATGAGGACCTCACTGAAACCCTGGGTATGGCACTGAGCCCAGTAAGACACCAGGGAAGGTCCTGATACAAGGTAGACACCCCCAAAGACCATGAGACACAAGGAGACCTTGGAGAGGTCTCTGAACCCCACTCTGGGAAAGACCTTGAGCCCTAGTGGGACCCTGGGAAAAACCCTAAGCCAGAAAGAGACCCCGGGAAAGGCCCATAGGCCCACTGAGAACTTGGAGAAGATTTGTAGAAACAATAAGACCCTGTTGAAAGCTGTGAGCCCCTCAGAGACCCCAGCGAAAGCCCCGATTCTGATAGAGGTTTGGTGGTAAATCTGATCCCAGAGAGATCCTGGGGAAAACCCTTGACCCACTGAACTATGAGAAAGACCATGAGCTCCCCTAAGAGCTTGTGCTTGGCCCCGAGCCCCACTGAGAACACCTGGAAGGATCTGAGCTCACTGAGACAGTGGGAAGAGCACTGGGCCCCACAGAGACTCCGAGGAAGGCCTGAACCCAGTGGGTCCCTTGAGAAAGACCTTAGCCCCAGTGCACCCTGGAGAGGCCCTATTACAACTGAAATGCTGGACAGGGCTCTGAGAACCACTGAGACCCTGGGGAAGGCCCTGAGCCCCAAGGATACTCGGGGGGAAAGGTTCTGATCCCTACGGAGGCCCTAGAAAACGCCCCAGTCTCCTATGCACACTTGGGGAAGGCCCTGAACCTGCCTGAGGCCCCCGGGGAAGGCTGTGAGATCCACCGAGAAACTGGGGAAGGTGCTGAGCCCCATAAACACGGGGTAAGGCAATAAGTGCCAGTGTGTCCTGGGATGCACTGAGCTCCACGGAGAACCGGACAAGGCCCTGGGATTCACTGAATTCCTCTTGTAGGCCCTGAACCCAGTTTGTACGTGGGGAAGTTTCTGAGTCCCACCGAGGCTCTGGGAAAACCACTTGTAGACCTTGAAAGTCCCCGAGACAAGCTGAGATCCTGGGGTCGGCTTTGAATCCCACTCGATCTCTAGGCAAGGCCTGAGGCCCATCAAGAATGTTCTGGAACCCACTGAGGCACAGGGAATTTTTATCCCACTGAATGCTTGGGGAAAGCAGTACGAATACTAAAATTTGAGAAATACCCTGTGCATGACTGTGACCCTGGGAAAGACCCTGGATCCCACTGAGACCCTGGGTAAGGTCCTCACCCCCACTAGAAAACTTGGAAATACCATCAGCCCAATTGCTTACCTGGAAAACATGGAGACTCGGTAAGGCACTGGGATATGTTCTGAACACAATTTAGACCCCAGTGAAGGCCATGGAGCCGCTGAGACTCTACTGAAAGCCATTATCTCACAGAAACACCGAGGACAATTCTGATCCCCACTAAAATTCTGTAGACAGCCCTGAGACCCAGTGAAATCCTGGGGAAGGTCTTCCAACAGCACTCCACGGAAGGTTCTGATCCCCAACTAGGCCCTAGGGAAAGCCTGAGCACATACACAATCTGGGGGGAGGTCCTGAGCCTGACAGGTACAGTGGGAAAGACCCTGAGGCTAAGAACCCGGGGTAGGCCCTGAACACCCCCGTAACCCTGGGAAAAACCCCGAGCCTCAATAAAACTCTGGGGAAGGCTCTGAGGATCAAGGTGACCCTGGGAACGGTGCTGAGCTCCACTGAGGACTGGGAAAGGCCCTCAGAGTCACCCGTGCAGGTCCTCAACCCAGTGCGCACTAG